GACTGCGCCGGCAGACTTCACGCGTGGGACACCGAAGACCAAGACTACTGTCACCGACAGAAGGACCTAGACGACGGACTCTGGTACTGGGTACCGTGTGAGCAAAACCCCTGCCCAAACCGTCATCACCGTCCTGCCCGGATCAACTGGAACGCCTTTGCAAACGAGTTCATCCCAGTTCCTGACTCCCCCGTTGCTGAGTCGCCCACGACTCGATCCCCCATCCCCGGTACTCCGACTGACGAGCTCGAAGTAGCGCTACTCATCGCGCTTCCCCCATCCCCTATCATCCCCCCAACCCGTCCACCGTCCGCTCCACCCATCATGGGACAACAAGGCGGACAACCGCAGACGACAGGCCCCGCCAACAACCCCCAGCAGGCCCAACCGGGCACCCAGACGGCAACGCAACCCCCGGACCCCATGACGGTATTACTCCAGTCGATGACTCTCCTCACCCAGTCCATGGCGCAGCTCGCAAACTCGACCACTGGGACCAACAGCCTGAAGGCGGTTCAGAAGCCCTCTCCCTTTAAAGGTGAACAGGGGGGCGAAGCACGACGCTTCCTGGCCGCGTTCACTCTCTGGGCCATGTCCCAAGGATCAACCACGTGGACGCCACGGGCAACGCGATCAGCGCGCGCGACGACCAGTGGATTCGGGCAGTCCTCTCCTTCATGCAGGACAGTGCGGCTCTCTGGGCCACTCCGGCGATGGAGGAGATCACGCAGGGCACCACCCCGTTCAAAGGCTTGTGGACGGAATTCCGCACCCAGTTCAAGGCCCGATTCGAGACGGTCGACGAGGCGGTCGATGCAAAGGAGCGCCTCCGTACGTTGTGGCAAGGCTCCATGACTGTTCCGGAGTACGCCGCACGGTTCAACGAGCTCTCCACCCGCATGGGCTACTCCAAGGCCGACCTCCGAGACCGCTTCTACGAACACCTGGCAGACTCCATCAAGGACGAGTTGGTGCACACAGCGAGGCCCATCGCTTCTCTCGAAGACCTCATCACCGTCTCCTCCGACATCGACGTCCGTGTCCGCCAACGCCGTGCCGAACGGGATCGTCAGCGCGGACGCACCACCACCACCACCACCGCGGCCAAGCCGGCTGTTCCGCTGCATACCACCCCCTTCACGCCGCCTGCCCGGGACCCGAACGCAATGGACATCGATGCGACCCGTACGCGCGAAGAATTCAACCGCCTCATGCGCGGCAAGTGCTACGGTTGCGGGTCTACGGCGCACGTCAAGAAGGACGGCGGCCACGACCGAGACATCTGCGGCTACTGTCGTCGTGTAGGGCACCGCGAGACAGTGTGCATGGATAAGTTCCTGAAGAAGCCCCGTTCACAGAAGCTCGCCGCCACGGAGGAAGGACCTGAGGAGCCCCAAGTTGCAGCGTCGACGTCGTCGTCCGCAGATGCCGGAGCGACCAATGCTCTCATCGCCCAGCTCATGGAGCAGCAGAAGGCCCTCGCTGATCAGCTCGCCTCTCTGCAGAAGTCTTTTTAGAGCGGGCGCGCGCGAAAGCTGCCGCAGCGGCGCCCTCTGGTACGACTACGGACTCCTCGCCTCCCCAGATCCCTGACCCCTGCCTGTACGATAGTATTAGTTCGTGTATCATTCCCGAATTGAACCCATCTAGCTCGCATTTCCGCGTCAGTGTGATTCTTAAAGGCAGAAATCGTAGTGTACGTTCCGCAGCTATGATAGACAGTGGGGCAACGGCCCTTTTCATCAGCCACCGTTTCGTAAAGAAGAACAATGTTTATTTACATAGGCTAGCTAGAGACATTCCCCTCTATAACATCGACGGCTCCAAGAACAGTGCAGGGAGCATATCTCATTACGTTAGGTTACAAGTACTTATGGGCGACTACACAGAATGGCTCGAGTTCTTAGTTACAGACCTGGGCCCTGAAGACGTCGTACTAGGTTTACCTTGGCTTCGTAGAGTCAATCCGGACATTGACTGGCAGGAAGGCACCATGGAGGTTGGTGCGGAGGAAACGGAGGCCGAGGCGGAATGGAAACCTGGTATTGAGCGGATCGCCGCCAACCGGGTGCAGCGAAGAAAGTGGTGGAAGGCCAAGGTTCTGGAGGACACGACCGAGGAGTTATGGTGTGCCCCCGGGTACACCTACTCCACGGAGCTCGCGCAGAAGGCCAACCAGGGCAAGCCCAAACGCACGTTCGAGGAGATCGTTCCGGAGGA